CAGGCCAAACAATGAAGATGTAAACTGCTCAAGGAGCCTGTTCTTCGATTTTGTCCATTTGGTGTATTAGAATTCATTCATTCATCAAATATTTATTAAGCACCTGCTATGTGTGAGGCACTGTTCTAGGCTCAGGGAATACATAAGTGAACAAAAATACAATCCATGCCCTCATGGAGCTTACATTCTAGGGAGGGAGTCAGATAATAAATAAATTACATCTTATGTTAGATAAATACTACGGAGAAAAAGCAGGAGTAGGGGTAGGGAGTGCTGAGTAGGGTGGTTAGGGAAAGCCTCACTGAGAAGGTAACATTTGAATAAAGACCTAAAGAGACTGATGGAGGAAGCCATGGGGATATCTAAACCCTGTTGCCATCAAGTCGATTCTGACTCACAGTGACCTTATAGGACAGAGTAGAACTGCCTCAGGGTTTCCAAGGACCAGTTGGTGGATTCCAACTGCCAACTTTTTGGTTAGCAGCCAAGCTCTTAACCATTGTGCCACCAGGACTCCATGGGTATATCTAGGGGAAGAGCATTGCAGGTAGAGGGAACAGCAAGTGCAAAGGCCTTGAGCTGGGAACGTATCTGGCCAGTGTGGCTGAAGCAGAGTGAACTGAAAGCCAGAGTAGTTGGAGATGAGGTCAAAGAGGTGGGAGTGGAGGGGTCTGACTGTGTGTGTCCCTTGTAGAGCATTGTGAGGACTTAGGTCTTTACCCAGAGTAAGATGATGAGCCATTAGAGGGCTTTGAGGAGATGAGTGACACACTCTTCCTTAGGTTTTACCAGGATCACTGTGGCTGCTGTGTTGACAAGAGACTATAGGTATGCAGGGTCAGAAGAAGAGAGAAGAGTTAGGAGGCTTTTGTAATAATCCAAGTGAGAGGTGAAGGTGTCTTGAACCAGACTGAAACAGTGATGAGCATTTGGATTCTGGAAATATTTTGAAGACAGAGGCAACAGGATTTACTAACAGATTGGATTAGGGGTGTAAGAGAAAGAAAGGATGGGTTTCTGCATAAAATGGCTTTTGAAACAAAGAATTATGCTGCTATGAGTGGCAATATTAATCTCTGACAAAACAGACTTTAAAGTATAATCCACCACAAAGGATAAGGAAGGACACTACATAATGATTAAAGGGTCAATACACCAGGAGGACATAACTATAATAAATATTTATGCACCCAACAACAGGGCTCCAAAATACATAAAACAATCTCTAACAGCATGGGAAAGAGAGATAGACAGCTCCACAATAATAGTAGGAGACTTCAACACACTACTTTCAGTGAAGGACAGAACACCCAGAAAGAAGCTCAATAAAGACACAGAAGATCTAAATGCCACAATCAACCAACTTGATCTCATAGACACATACAGAACACTCCACCCAACAGCAGCCAAGTATACTTTCGTTTCCAACACACATGGAACATTCTCCAGAACAGACCAAATATTAGGCCACAAAACAAGCCTTAAGAGAGTCCAGAACATCAAAATATTAAAGCATCTTTTATGACCATAAAGCCATAAAAGTAAAAATAACAGAAAAAGGAAAAAAAATCAAACACATGGAAACTGAACAACACCTTGCTCAAAAACTACTGGGTTATAGAAGAAATTAAGGACAGAACAAAGAAATTCACAGAAGCAAATCAGAAAGAAAACACATCCTACCCGAACCTTTGGGACACAGCAAAAGCAGTGCTCAGAGGTCAGTTTATAGCAATAAATGCACACATTCAAAAAGAAGAAAGGGTCATAATCAAAACATTAACCCTACAACTGGAACAAGTACAAAGAGAGCAGCAAAAGAAGCCCACAGGCGCCAGAAGAAAGGAAATAATAAAAATTAGAGCAGAGATAAATGAAATAGAGAATAGAAAACAATTGAAAGAATTAACAAGACCAAAAGCTGGTTCTTTGAAAAGATCAACAAAATTGATAAACCATTGGCCAAACTGACAAAAGAAAAACAGGAGAGGAAGCAGATAACCTGTATAAGAAATGAGATGGGTGATATCACAACAGACCCAACTGAAATTAAAAGAATCATAACAGAATACTATGAAAAATTGTACTCTAACAAATTGGAAAACCTAGAAGTAATGGACAAATTTCTAGAAACTCAGTACTTACCTAAACTAACACAAACAGAGGTAGAACAACTAAATAAATAAATAAACCCATAACAAAAGAAGAGATTGAAAAGGTAATTTAAAAACTGCCAACAAAAAAAAGCCCTGGCTCAATCGAAAGAATTAACAAGACCAAAAACTGGTTCTTTGAAAAGATCAGCAAAATCGATTGGCTGCTAACCAAAAGAAGAATTATTCTGCTAAAGAAGTTTTGATCCTGGGGGCAAATTGTTGGGTCAAGCTCAGACTAACTGGGCCTACCCTGGGAAGCCCTTGATACCTGCAGTGGGCCTCTATACCCAGATACAGCTCCCTCTTCCTGGAAAGCCACCTTTCGTTGCCCCCTCCTCCTTCCTTTTTTTTTTTTTTTCTCAAGCATCCCTTTCTCTGAAGACCTTTGCCCAACCCCCTCTACTGCCTAGGCTGGGGTAAAGGCTCCTTGGTGCTCTCCCATGCATTCATCTCAGCACTCGGGCCACCCTGTACTGCAAGTGACAGTACAGTCTATCCTACTATTCCAAATCCTTCCTTGTTTCTCCAATCCCTTTATTCTCTGCAGAAAGCTGTTGAGCCTCCTGATTTTCTGAACTGCAAGCCATCTGCTGCTGTGAACCACTTCAGCTTCCTCCTCTCCCCCTCACAAGTGCTCTCTCCCGTATACAGCATGCTTCTTTTGCTGTAGGAAGGCAACGGTTGAGGTTATTCAAATAACCCCCAAAAGAAACAAGGGAAGGATAAACCAATAACTATTAGAAATTATCTATGGAAAAAAATTACCTGTGGGGGAGGGAGAGAACAGGGAGGAGGGCACTAGGATGGCAGCTAGCCCTCTCTGAATGTACTTTCACTTTTAGGTAGTTTTGTCTTTAGAGACATATAAATGTTTTTAACTTTTAATTGAAATATAACACTCATACAGAAAAGTGCACAAATAAGTGTACAGCTAGATGAATTTTCACAAAGTGCACATATCCACGTAACCAGCACCCGGATCAAAAAACAGAACACCACCAGCACACCTCTACCACCAAGCGTAACCACTGTCCTGGCTTCTAATGGTACAAATTAGTTTTGCCCGTTTGGGCTCTTTACATAAATGGAATTATGCAGTATGCATGCTTTTGTGTCTGGCTTCCTTTGTGCCACATTGTGTTTGTGAGATCCATCACGTTGTTTTGGGTAGTGGTAGTTTGTTCATTTTCATTGGCATATAGGAGCAGTTCTCAAATGTTTTAGCCTTGGGATCCCTTTACACTTAAAAATTATTGAGGATCTCAAAGAGCTTTTGTTTATGTGGATTATATCTATCAATACTATTAGAAATGAAAACTCAGAAATATTTAAAACCTAAAAACTCAAGCACACATTCCATTATCTGTGGGGGCAATGATATTACAAGTCATGGAAGTCTCTGGAAGCCAGACTTCATGGCAGCTAACAACAAACCCTTTGCCATCCAGTTGATTCCTAGTCATAACGACCTATAGGACAGAGTAGAACTGCCCCCACAGGGTTTCCAAGGCTGTAATCTTTACAGAAGCGGACTGCCACATCTTTCTCCCACAGAGCAGCTGGTGGGTTCCAACAGCGGACCTTCCAGTTAGCAGCCAAGCACTTAACCACTGCGCCACCAGGGCTCCTTAATAACAATACATAGGCTTCTTAACACAGTTCTATTTGTGGGTCTGTAATTTCAAAGAAGTGATGAGTATGTAAATGATATTTTGAGACATATGCATCAACTATTATGTAATATGAAACCATCTATGGTTTCCATAAACGAAGAAAGTGCTAAATTTCAGTCAGTTTGGTGCAAATATAGTTTTAATTATTTTTTTTACACCAAGTTCATGGGCCCTCTGAATTCTATCGATGGACCCTTGTGAACCCGAGGTCAAAAACCCTTGCCCTAATACATTACTGCAAAACTGCTTGAGGTGATTGCAGACGCACAGAGGTTTTGTTTGGTTTTAAATGGGGAGAAGAAAAAAGATGAAAACGGAGAATATTAGCGTCCAAAACGCATGGGTGGGCTACAAGGTTCGTCTGGGCTTCCCAGCAGCCAAGGAAAAAGTTCTGTCCCTCCTTTCTCAGTTTAAAAGCCTTTATTGGCAACCTCTTGCCTAGGCTAAAAAGCCCAAGGCCGTCTCTAGACTTGGAAATCCTGGTAGCGCAGTGGTTAAAAGCTACCGCTGCTAACCATTAGATCGGCAGTTTGAATCTACCAGCCGCTCTTTGGAAACCCTATTGGGCAGTTCTACCCAGTCCTACAGGCTGTGGGTCGGAATCGACTCGACGACAGCGGATTTTTTTTTTTTTTTTGGTTCCTAGGCTCAGAGGGCCCACCTAGTCCAGCCCCCGCAGACCTTTCCTGCTTCCTCCAACATCGTTGCCCCTTCTAAGAGTCCCGCACCTTCCTGCCAAGTCGAACTACTTCCAACCCTCTTCCAAAGGCTCAGTTGAGTCCCGCCAACCTAACCAAGCAGCAGCGATCTCATCAATCCCTGCTCCTCCGAGCGCTTGCTTCCAAGGACAAGGCCGACGTCTTTACGCCGGGACGTGGTGCCTTCACCGCCCTTCCTTGGGGTTAGTCCCGCCTCCTCTTGTGCTATTTCTGAGAGCAGAAGGGCTTCCACTTTGGTACTAATTACGGCTGTCTGTCTCACCCATTAAACAGGGCGCCCCTATCAAACTGACGAGCTCCTGGAGAACCCATTTGTGGAACTGGAATGAAAGCGAATCCCATTCCGCACAGAACGAGCACACTTTCCCACAGCCCTACGGAAACATAAAGTGTTTAGGGCGCTAGAAGGCGGTGACCAGTTGTGACGTCACTTCCCAAGCCCCGCCTCCGGCTGCGCCTTCTAAAACGTACTTCCGGCTGCTTCCCTCTCTTTCTCCCCTTCTCCGCCATCGTGGTGTTTGCGGCGGCCGGCCATCCTCGCCATGGTAAGCCCATCTGCCACCATCGGCTTCGGGGCGGCTTTCCGAGACCCGAGGCGGCCGCGGACCTGCCGAGGTCGCGCGGGGACTCGAAATGCGGGACCTTTTTTAGGCTTTCCCAAGAGAAGGTCGAGTTTAGCTACCGCTCTGATCCGCGGGCCTGGCCAGGAGCTAGCGTGCAAGTGATCAGCTGAGGAGGGCGGGCTGTTTTGGCGCGGAGGGTACGAGGGGGCGCTCTTCGCGCCGCACCGCCGCAAAGGCTGGTAGGGATCCCCGCCTCCCTTTATCCTTCTCTTAGAGTTGCCCGAGTGGAGACCAGGCCCTGATTCCTGAGCGAACTGTGATTTTTGGGGCAGGAAGAGAGGTCACGGATCACCTCATGAATCGTGGACTGGCTGCAGGGCTGCCCACAGACAATGGGACTTGCCGGGCATCGGGAGGTAGATGTGGGCTGCTGGATTTAGGAAAGTTTTTAAATCTGGCTCCCAGGAGCTTACCGCAGGGTTGGTTTATGGGTCTTTTTGGTCGTTTGTTCAGGAATTGAGCGTCACACTGTGGAAGTGCCTGGTACAAGGAGTGTTACGTGAACCCATGTGTCATTCAGGTGTTCTTAGTAAATGCCAACTGCAGACCAGTCATTGGGTTTTTTTCTGGGGGAAAAAATGTTTATAGGCTTCTAGGCATGGAGGAGATCAGTATCTCGTGTTTTATAGCTTATTATTTGACAGAAAATTTATAACTGTTACTGTTGGCCGGGAGGGAGGGTTTTAGTCATAATGGTCCCTGTTATGCAAGGGTTTGTTGGGCCAGGTTTTAGACTCATGTCATTTCGCCAGATTGTTATGAATATTCAGGAGTGGGGGAAGAGTGGTTGGAGTTGGACTCAGATGAGCCAAGTCTTAACGAAAGACAAAAGAGGCAAAGGGAAATTGGGAAAGGCATCTTTGAAAAAGTGGCATTTTAAATAGACCCCAAAAGTTAAGTTAGGATTAATACCAAAATGATGAGTGGGGCAGAACTAGATCTACTAAATGTCAGACAGTGCATAAATAAGTAATCTTAGATACCCTTGCAATGAACCTTGAAAGTGTAGCTACCCTCGTTGTACAAAGTAGAGCACCGGGACTCATTGGCTTGCAAGTGACAGATTGTTCTGATTGACTGAAAGCAGTGCTCTTTCCAGGAAGCCAGTCCCCCAGCACTATCCCCTATGTGGTCTTCTGAGTCCTGGTGACAGCAGGCTAGACATTAATACTCTGATTTTGAGCAGGTTACTTACCTCCTTGATTCTACTTGTTTTTTATTTGAACGATGGAAATTAGGTTATCTGCCTCCAGAGGAATTGTAAGGAACAAAGGGCAAAATGTGTTTTAACATGGAGAAGATTGGTTATGGCATATATTAAGCACTCAAAGTTCGTTGATTTCAGAGGACTCCTGACTTTGAATCATTTAGGCAGACTCTAGTGTGAACTGTCTAAATTGATTGCATTTCCTTCCCAGTCTTCTCATAAGACTTTCAGGATCAAGAGATTCCTGGCCAAGAAACAAAAGCAGAATCGCCCCATTCCCCAGTGGATTCGAATGAAAACTGGTAATAAAATCAGGTAAGGTTACATGCAATCTAATTCATCCTTGTACCACCATTCTGAAATTCCTTTTTTTAAAATATGCTGCTTCGGTTTCTACATAGCACCCAGCCCACAGCTGGGCTTAGAGGAGATACTTTAATACTTGTTAATTTCCTGGTTGTCTTCTCTCTGAGCCAGAGTGTAAGGCTGTTTCCTGGTGGGGAAGACAAAGTTGCTCACCCAGTCAAGGTTTTTTCTTCCCCATTTATTTTATTGTTGAGAATATGCACAGCCAAACATACGGTAACAATTTCTACATGTGCAATTCAGTGACATTGATTACAATCTTTGAGTTGTGCAACTAGTCTCACCCTCCTTTTCTAAGTTGTTCCTCCCTCATTGACATAAACTCACTGCCCCCCCCACCCAAGTTTCTTAACTAACCTGTCAAGTTGCTGTGGTCAGTTTGATTCCATATAGATAGTTCTTAAAGCATAATGCTCAAGACAGAACTTTTTTTTACTAGTTAAGCTAAACTATTAGGTTTTAAGAAGACTTCAGGGGATATTTTTTGTTTACAATTTAAAGATTATCTCAGGACAATAGTTTTGGGGTTCTTCCAGCCTTCATGGCTCCATAAAGTCTGGATTCTATGAGAATTCGGAATTCTGTTCTGCATTTTCCCCCTTTGATTAGGATTCTTCTATAGAATCTGATCAAAATACTTGGTAATGGAAGCCGGGCACTATCCAGTTCTAGTGGCAAAGGAGGCAGTTGTTCATGGAGGACCCAATCAGTCTTTGAAATGTACCTTTCTTAAAGACTGGAAGATTGCCATCTACTGTGGAATTAGCTGAATTGATGATTTTGGGGAGAAAGACATTAGAACCTCCAAGGTCATCGAGACCAACTTCAAGCAAAGCTAGGAATAAAACTCCTGCATGCCTTTCAGCCCACTGAGCTTTGGACCTGGTGGGCTTCAGGGAGGAAAAATGAGTATTAAAAATCAGTGAGATTTGCCCGAGGTGACAGCCCAGTATGTTGAACAAGTTTCAGAACTTTGGTTTGTTTAAAATTCAGTTTCAAGGTTTCCTGATAATTGAGCCCAGAAGACCAAACAGGTAGGGGGAAAGACAAAAAGAAAACATTTCCCAGATTATTTCTTTTCAAAGCACTAAACATCTACGTGAACATGAGTTTCTCCATCAATGATGGGACCTGCCTTACAGGTTGCTGTGTGGGATGAACGAAATGTATGTAGAACTCAGTGCTTAGCTCAATAAAGATTACCTGCTATTATTAGTCCCTTGCCTTGTGGTCTCTTAGAGCTGGGAAGGTATTTTGTATTTAGGATTATGTCTTCTTGGCCCAGAAAATTGGCACCATAGAATGACTTCCTATTACCTGAGCTGTCTTCCAACTTTTAAAATTGTATTGAAAGCAGGTTGCAATTACAGTGCTTCGGATTGTGGAAGTACTGACATTATCCTGCTGAAAGAAATGCTGTGTTCATCATCTTTGGTTTTGCCTTTATGAGGGTAAAACCATGACAGATTAACACACACAATTCTGAGATGGCGTTAGCTCTGCAAGTCACTGTTGCTCTGGGATTGGAATGACTGGGTGTTACTCTTATGTAAGAATTGTGTGGGAGCTTTTATGAGTGTGTTACCTGTTAATGTGACTTTTTGATGTGGTTTAGAAAGGAGGAGAGGGGTTTAAAGTATGTATCTGGGTCTACCCTGGGTCTGCTGAACCAAAGTTGAATGAGTGTACACTTGGAAGGGAGAGCTTCTCCACTACTCAAGCCCCAGTTAACCATTTTTCCCCCTAGCCCTGGATCCTTGTGAGAGGTAAGAAATTGGCTTGACTAGTTTTTAAACACATCTAGCAAGTGATTTTTTTACTCTCCAGAAAGGGTTCCAAATTTGTTAAAGGAAGGAAAATGGGGACCCTTTGCCTTCAGATGATTTTGTAGTACCTAAAAGGCAAAGTTTGGTGACTAAGAACAGCTAATTGAGGTCAGACTGTCTTTGTGACATGCAGTTTCGTTCTGTGTAGGTACAACTCCAAGAGGAGACATTGGAGAAGAACCAAGCTGGGTCTGTAAGGAGTCGCACACGTGATGGAACACAGATTTACCCCTCTATCAGGATCCACTAGCATTTTACCATCTCAAGTTGAAAATTTTGCCGTGATCTGTACAGTTAACCATGTATTGGGAAAATTCTAATTTCTTTTGTTTTTTATGCTTCTGCATTAAGAGATGGATTCCACTAATAAATATGTGAGACCTTTGCTTTGAACTGCTGTAGCATTCTGGTTTGTGGAGTACTCAGTTTACTCCTCTACCCCCAGACTCAACCAGATCTAACAGCACTGTCCAGGAGAACTTTCTTGCAATGGTAGAAATGGTCTCAGTCGGCTACTAAGTACTTGAAATATGACCAGTATGGCTAGGGAACTGAATTTTAACATTTAATTGTGGTAGAAGTGGTTAAGTGCTCAACTATTAGCCAGAAGGTTGATGGTTCAAACCCACCCCTAAGTGCCTTGGAAAGACAGGCTTGTTGATCTGCTTCCTAAAGGTCACAGCTTTGAAAACTAAGGAGTAGAGTTGTGCTCTGACACACATGGGGTTACCATTGTGTCGGAATCAACTGGATGGCAACTAACAACATTTTGGCAGTGGCTACTGTATTGGACAGCACGTCTAAAACCTTCACGGAACATAGCATCCTGGTTGATAATCTGATCAGATGTTCCTGTTACAGGAGGCATGTACTTGGGGGTGGCACATTCTTAGAAGAGCAGGGGTCAGCAAACTCTGGTCTGCCGCCTATGTTTGTGTTACCTACGACCTAAACAGTTTCTGCATTTTTAAGTGTTTGAAAGAAATTTTTTCATAATATCTGATTGCATTTGCCCTGTTGCCATAAAGACCATATGGTCTGCAGAGCCTAAAGTATTTACTACTTGGCCTTTATAGAGAAAGATTTGCCAACCCCTGATTTAAATAGTCTGGATTCAGGAGAGTTCACTTTTGCTTAAAAGAGCTAGGTTAATTGTTGGCACTGTAGCATACTGTACACTGTAGGCAGTGTAATGGCATTGCCTGCCTTACAGAAGAGCTGTACCTGGAGAGTAAGGTGCTGGGAGATACATTCAGCAAATGTATCGAGCACTTTTTATGTGCCAGGCACATTGTAGGTACAGTGTTTGAGATTAATTAGTTGATAGACAAGTTATACAGCATGTTAGAAAGTGTTAAGTGCTAATAATAGGCCCACACACCAACCATAGCAAGCATTTGTGGGAAAGGTGGAAGGGAACAAGGTTCCCTAATTGACCTTTAGAATTAGGACTGAAACTGCAGCAAGGGGAAAGAATCAGATTTGGTGGTAACTCCCTACCCAGCTCATAGGGACCCTATGCTGGACATAGATGAGAATGCAAATGGCAAGGAATGCTGGGTGCCATGTATGTTAAACCAAAAGAAACCAAACCCATTGCCATAGAGTCAATTCCAGCTCTGTCCCGGTAGGACAGAGTAGAACTGCCCCATAGGGTTTCCAAGGAGCAGCTGGTGGATTCGAACTACCGACCTTTTGGTTGGCAGCTGAGTTCTTGACCACTGTGCCACCAGTGCTCCAGTATATGTTAGGTGTGGTCAAGTCGGTTCTGACTCAGCAACCCTGTGTACAACTGAGCAAAACACTGCCCAGTTCTGCGCCATGCTCACAATTGTTGCTATGCTTGAGCCTATTGTTGGCAGCCATTGTCAATCCATCTCGCTGAGGGTCTTCCTCTTTTTTGCTGCCCGTCTACTTTACCAAGCATGATGTCCTTCAGGGACTGGTCCCTCCTGATAACATGTCCAAACTATGAGACAGTCTCAACATCCTTGCTTCTAAGGAGCACTCTGGCTGTACTTCAAGACAGATTTATTTGTTCTTCTGGCAGTGGTATATTCAATATTCTTCAACAGCATAATTCAAAGGTATCAGTTCTTTGGTGCTGTGTATAGTGTGCAGCAAATGCTGAGGGCGTTGTAGAGCAAAGGGTTCCTTGTCCTATAACTGTACTCGGAGGCTCAGTAAATGCAAGCCTTTAAGAGGAACCACCATGCTTACCAGAAGTTTGAGCTGCAGAACTACCAGCCAATCCAGGAGTCTGGGAGCTTGGGGGAGGAGTCTTTGGAATACATGGCCTTGCAAGCCCCCTGATTTCAAATATTTTCTCACATCAGTGTTGCCTTCACATTCAGAGACAGCTGCCACTGTGTGACAAACAGGTGGTAAATGTTAACATGCTAAAAATAATCAGATCCGAAGCAGATGGACTTGATTCAGTTAACTGATAGTCATGTCAGGGAGAAATGTCTAAATAAACCATTTTGGAGTATTAGAAATACCTTAGCCTCACTACTGAGTCCAGGGAGGCTAAGCAATAAGACCAAGGTCACACTACTGGCAGATCCCAGCTTTCTCTACAGACCTTGAAGAATAGGTAGGACTAGAATTGAGAAAAAGGGGAAATGACTTGGATACCAGAGTTGGTTAGCCCTGTGTAAGGGGTTTCTTTTGAGCCTGAGAGTCTGGGACATGAATTCTGGTTCCAGTGATCCCTCACTAGCTGGTACAATTCCTCATCTGTGAAGTGAGTTGGACTAGATTGGTGCTTCCTGGAGGGAGGAATGGGAGCTTGTGAAATTTAAGATTTCAAAAAGTTACTGAAATAATACATGCCCTGCCAGAAGTAAAGCCTAAGATGCCTGCTTTTGAAAGACGTGAAGTCTGCTCTGGTGATACTGTCTATCCTTGGATGACCTAAGGAGAGGCAGGTGGCAGCAGCGAGCTGGTGAAGTTTGTGGTCTGGAGTGTGACCAGCTTGGATTCAGATACTCTTGACCACCGGCAGTGAGCCTCAGTGTCTCCATCTGCAACACGGGGCCAATAGGACCTCCCTCAGAGGGTGGTGAGGATGAAATGTAATAATGCATTAAAGCTTTCGGTTCAATGCTTGACTGTAGGAAAAAGAAGAGTGGGGAGGGAGCAGGATTAAAGTTTCAGTGTCAGTTCGCTCCCCAGCTCACATGTGCTGTATGCTGGACAAAGCTAAAAGAAGGTACATAAACTGAAGATTGCAGAGAGGTGGGAGTCAGGATGGGAGATGACGTGGGAGAAGTCAGGCAGAGCTGGCCCAGAGTTGATGCTCCCTGGCGGCTGCTAGATAGTTGATCTTCGGGTTCACTTCCAATTCAAGATTCTAATTTGGAGGGTATCTTACTCATCTATTTCTATAACAGAAATACAACAAGTGGATGGCTTTACCAAAGAGAAATTTGTTTTCTCACAGTCTAGCAGCCTACAAGTCCAAATTCAGGGCACCGGCTCTAGGGGAAAACTTTCTCTCTCTGTCGGCTCTGGAGGAAGGTCCTTGTCATCAATCTTCCTCTGGTCAAAGAGCTTCTCAGGTGCAGGGGCCCCGGGTGCAAAAGAGGCACTCTGCTCCCGGTGCTGCTTTCTTGGTGGTATGAGGTCCCCCTGCCTCTCTGCTCACCTCTCTCTTTTATATCTCAGAAGAGATTGGCTTAAGACACATCTAATCTTGTAGATATCAACATAACTGCCGCTGATCCATCTCATTAACATCATGGTGATAGGATTTACAACACATAGGAAAATCAAATCAGATGACAAAATGGTGCACAATCACAATACTGGGAATCATGGCCTAGCCAAATTGATACACATATTTTTGGGGGACACAATCCATGACAGGGGTTGGGGGCAGTGGTGGTTCAGTGGTAGAATTCTTACCTTCCAGGCAGGAGACCCAGGTTCAATTCCCTGCCAATGCACCTCATGTGCAGCCACCACCCATCTGTCAGTGGAGACTTCCATGTTTCTATGATGCTAAAAGGTTTCAGCAGAGCTTCCAGACTGAGACTAGGAAGAAAGGCCTGGTGATCTACTTCTGAAAATCAGACCTGCAGATCACAACCGTCCGATCAATCCACAACTGAGCATGGGGATGGTGCAGGACCAGATAGTGTTTCATTCTGTTGTGCATGGGGTCGCCATGAGTTGGTCATTGACTTGACAGCAGTGAACAATTTGGAGAGGTAGAAGAATCCCTCAAGGCCTTGAAAAGGAGGCAAGGTGACATGACAGTGAGAATTCCGGGGCTTGCAGTCAGGCCTAGGGTTGAATCCTAGCTCCACTGAACCAGCAGTGGGAACTTGGTCTCTTCAGAGGCATCCAGAATCATACCTGACAACCTCAGGTTTGTTAAGGATTGAATTGTAATGCTAGTAATGGATCAGTTCTATTAGATATTCCCTAATTTAAAAGATGAGAAAAAGGTTAAGCAACTAATTTCTGCCAATAGCAGCTAAGAGTTGTTTTTGAGTGCTTGTAGCATGCCAGGGGAATCCCTGAGTGGTACAAACGATTAACACACTAGGCTGCTAACCAAAAGGTTAGAGGTTCGAGTCCACCCAGAGGTGCCTCAGAAGAAAGATCTGGCAATCTACTTCCAAAAAAAATCAGTCATTGAAAACCCTATGGAACACAGCTCTACTTTGACACACATAGGGTCACCATGAGTTGGAATCCACTTGATGGCAACTTTTTTTTTTGTTTTGGAGCATACCAGGTTGCTTTTAGCAGGAATGAGAATGAGAACCAGATTGAGTAGTGAATAGATGTTATACTTTCTTGGAAAGAGCAGGGTGAAATATGAACCATTCACACTTCCCTGATGGTGTTATATTCAGGAGTGTTCATCCAACACACACAAGACTCTGCCTGTGCAAAGTATTGGTGGGTGTTCGGGGAGCCAGAGGTAAGTGTGACCTTCAAGGGTGTCATAGTCAAGACTGTGTACGTGTTATGTGCCTGTGTATACTGTATGGGTGTGTCTCTGGGGATGGAGGGAGGGCAGGTGGCGAACCCTCATCCAAAAAAACAAATCAGGCTACACTAAGTAAATGGTCTGACACAGTCACTCTCAACCCGGGCAATTTTGCCCCCAGGGGACATTTGGCAATGTCTGGAGACATTCTGGTTGTCAACTGGGGAGGGTGCTACTAGCATCTAGTGAGTAGAGGCCCGGGAGCTGTTAAGCATCCTACAATGCACAGTTCAGCCCCCCATATATCAGTAGCGCCAAGGTTGAATAACTGGTCTCGCAGCACAGCAGCCAGACTGAGCTTTCGAGATACAATGCTGCTCAACACCCGCCCCCTCCACTTCCTTTACACTGCTCTTGGGATAAACCTCACTCTTTACTGTGGTCCAAA